AATCACTCACCACCACCATCATCATCATCATCATCAAACACTGGCTGCAAGGCCAAAAGCAGTACTACTCCAAAAAAACACATTTTAAAATAAAAATCCACAGCATAACATGACCTAAATTCACAGCTCTTCAACTGCTCACAAGAACACCAACTCTGCCTACACACACACTCACAAAGTGCAGCCGGTCCACAGGAATCAGTCAGCCACATCTGATCTCGCTGAGTGTGTTTTGCAAGCGGTCCAGCAGGGATTGATGATGGAAAACACTGGCAGAAGTTTCCATCTGTGCCCTGCTCACATATTTCTATCACGGCAACTCAGACCTGTCGTGGAGGAGGCATGAAGCTGTCCTGCATATGGCTCAGCAATGCTTATTTGGCACTGACTGAAAGACAAAAACCTGTCAAGTACTAAAAAGCTGGCATCAAATGCCTCATCAGATTCTTGTATTGCTTCTTGTGTTTAGGCCATTTTGGCATCCATACTAGTGCTGAAACCTTCAATCGATTAGTCAAATCGGTAGAAAAAAGCAACAACAATTTTGATAATTTATTAATAACTACTAAAACTGATAGCATTTGCTTATTTCCTCAAGTTATCTTCAGCTTCTCGAAATGTGATGACACTGATTTCCTTTGCTTTACATCATTGTAAATCTTTGTTTATTGCTTGCAAAAAAAGCTCACTCACTCTCTTGGAGGAAGACCAAAGTTCATTAATTGGATGAAAGAACTGTCCATACCGGATTACTTTTTTTAAAAAGGCACACTTCGCTTTTTGGAAACAATAAGTGGTTCTCTGCAGTTGTCTGAACTATGTGAACTACTTTTACTATGTGATTGTTATGTTTAACTAATTATCCCTGAATTTGACATTGATATACAAATAATAAAAAAATTTTGTGAACATGTCTGTTTTGTTATTATTTTCAAATGTCAAATAAGGGAGACCCAATTTTAATGTTGGCCTATCCCTCACAGTGGATGTGAAAACATTTGCAAGTTATTTGAAAATATTAATAAAGATGTTGTTTGGGAGGAGTGGGGGGGGGGGGACTATTCAAAACGTCACGTTTTCAGAAATTGTGACAGGCACTTTTCTTTTAGTTTAGACTTAATAAGAGATCCTTCATAAAAACAAGTGGCAGATAATGTCACATATGGACACTAGTATCAATTCAAACGATGCCTAGGCCTAGTCCTGGGGGACACATGGACCAATCCAGAAGGACCTCCTTGCCACAGATTTGTACAAAAAGTTTTAGAAGCAACAACTGTATCAAAGACACAACAAAAGAGCACAAGGTCCTGCAGCAACTGTCAACCACTTAAGACCCATTTAACAGATACATTAAATAGCCTGACCAGGACCATCTGAGCCCAAATATCCTGGCTCAAATTTTGGACAGCAGAAACGTTACCTGTCAGGTCTTCTTCCTGTGTGTCAGCTGGTGATTTGTCACAGGACAAAGTTCAATGTTCAGCCTCTATCTCAGCCTGACTCAGCTACTCCTGTGAGAAAATGGATCCTGCCTTTCCATACTTAATTTTCTCTTCTAGTTTCAGGCCAAGCAGCTGATTCCTCGCTACTTTTCCACAGCGTGAGTGAAGTCATCCCATAACACAAACTTTCTTTCTTTCTACTCTTTGCTCCTCCCCTCCTCTGAGCAAGATTTTCTTCCTTTAACTTGTGCGAGTTACTGAAGCTCCACCCCTCCTGGCACTCACTGTGAGGAAACAAACTCTCTTCCCTGCTGCAGCTATCCCCCTTCACTGCCTTTATGGTCTGTGCGAGGCTCAAGGTGTGCTGGATAACTAACCTGCCATTGCATGAGGGGGTTGAGTCATCGTTTTTCTAAGTCTATCAATTCACAAGCTGACATTTAAATACTCCACTCACCTGGGAAGGAGCAATGATTCTGAAAATAAAACGTCCTCCCTAACCACTTTCCCATGAGTATGTATGAGAGCGTGGCTGTTTTAGGGAAATATGGCAGGTGATAGACTGATAAGGGAAACAATGGAGGAGCTATGTAGTCATGAACAAAACAACATCTGGAGATAGAAACTGGTGGTTAAACCTGAAACATTCTGGAGATGTTACATCTACAGGTCTAACTGAAAAGTCTTTTTCACCTTTTTTTTTAAGGTAAAGTCACATGCTCTCTACAGAAATGAAGTGAGAGACATATTAAATAAAGCTTTATTTACTGAATTTAGAGCTTTAATTTAAAACATTGCTCCAACTTCTGAATTGGGTGTGTGTTTTCTCCTCTCGGTGTGTCACCAAGTGAATAACAACGTGAAGGAATGACTGCACACTGAATCACACAGAGGCAGAAAGCTGCTGCTGCACGTTTCTGGCCACACCCTAACCAGTGATGTCAAAGCAGGTGTTTTGCATTAAATGGAAAACACAATAACATGGGTTCACACACTATTATTTTTTTCCATCCATCACCGTATATTTGACATAAAATCTAATGGAAGTGGCTGCAGGGAGCTCAGACTGCAGCTCTTTAAAAAGACACTGCATCCACATGTTTTCTTTTTTATGGGCAGATCACTCTAAAGTTTAAACATTTCAGAAAAGATTTTCTTTTGAGTTTTCAGGCTCACACCTACAGTTGTAATGAAATATAACACTGAAAAAAGGACACAGATTTTCTTAAATGTATAAATACAGGTGCTTAGCTCACTCACAAAGGGCAACAGTATAAAGCTGCATCTGGAAGACTTCCAGATGGCTAACGCTTCAGAAGAGCAACAGAAACATTCTTCAGCCATTAATAAATCTGTCTGATTTAGGATTTAGCTTCACATCACTCACTCTCCAGCTGCATGTTATAGAGACAGAGCAGCCTGGACTCAAATAGAATAAGTTAGGCTGTCCTCGATTTAAGAAAATGTCCATTTATGCTGGAAAAGGTTGTATGTGGATTGGTGATTGTGCATGGCCCCACTGATATGCAAGCCTATGATGCCCTATATACCTTGCATTAAAATGCATTTCGTATCCAGATTGTATCTAGATACATTAATTTATACCTGGTACAATGTGTGTCTCCAGTGTAGCGATGAAGCGGTTACAGTTTAAGGATAAACAGTAAAGACGGTTAATATACCAGATGGTAACTATTATTGTTTTAAGTTTAATTATCATTAATTACCATGTTCGATTACGCCACTTTCAAATATTCAAGGTAAATACTGCCCAGCTTCAAGACAGCAATAGTCTCCCAGACACATGCACAGCATGCAACTTGGGTTTGTTTATAACAAATGCAGGGTAAGTTACACACACGATGTATAACTTTATTTTTTTTTATAACTATTATTTAACAACTTTAATGTTAATACACAATTGATATGGTTTTCATTTGTTTACCTAAGGTATTGACTGTTAGTCTAAGCTGAAGTAAGCGGCCACCAGTCTTCATCGAACCACTTCACTGCATGTGTGAAACGTTTGCATATCTGATCGGCCTAATTTTTCTTGTTGAATACAACTCTGCCCTGACCATGTAGATATGCTTAGTTCTTAAAGCAGCTATAACATATAGTTTTATAACAGTGTATCAAATGACAATGTGAACATATTTTGACAATGTGAAAGAAGTCGCAGTAATGAACCTACTGAGAATTGCTACCCGAATCCCCTCAGTTTCACGTCGCTTTATAGTTTCACTTTACTTTACTGTTTGGGTTCATTCTCACAGCGTCGTTTTCAAAGAAGAAACACTAAAAACCCACTGTACACTAGGGCTGTAACGGTTTTGAAACCAAGACCAAAATCGCGACACAGAAGTCCACTGTCTCTTGTCGCAGATCCCAGAGATAGAACCGCGACACACTCGCTCCGCGGACTGTTGAGCTCTCATTAAAGTGCAACTGTGCCGGCGGCGAGTGACATCTGCAGTGGTGTGTTCACTGTCGTTCCGTAATGTAAAATTTCCTGCGTGTCCGTTGACGTAATACTAGAAACATCTCGCTCTCCAAATACTTTACTTTGGCAGGTGCAACTATACCTGTCCGGCCTGCACACTACCTGTTCAAAACCAAACAGACACATTTAACGACTGAACAAGAGTCAATAAGCAGCTTAAGAGCCAGATAATTTCCCTTCAAACAATAGAGCTAAGCTGGTTTCTGAAATATGTAAAATGGTCAACGTTTTGAAAATCAACTCTTCGTTTGCCAACATAGACAGCAGGAGCAGAACAGACCCAGAATTCTTTACTTTTCATGCAGGTCAGGATGCTCGTCTGTGTTTTCCAGACTGAAAGCAGGACAGCGGGGCAGCAGATGGCACTGCCCACCATGGCAATGTGCCCGGGGATCACACACACAGATTCAACATGATACCTACAGTAGCCAATTACAAACTCACAGACACACACGCACAGGTGGGACTCCCAGTACAGTAGGAAGTTCCATGCTGGGTCAGCTGCTGGTCTGCTATGGCCCATTTAACTAAACACACACACACACACACACACACACAAACAAACACTTACTTGTGGTACTATAATTTGTGAATATCCGGCATTCTCCAATCCCCAGTATGAAAGAATGTAAACAACAAATGACCACTTGACCAACATAAACAATAGTTTTCAAATGGTGGATCACAAAGTTCAAAAACATGAACACACACACACACACACACACACACACCATTTCCTTGGCAGCTTGTCATCAACATGGCTGTCCTCATCAACAACTAGACTGACACTAATCAAATCACTATGCAAGCATAAATTTGGTGTGTGTGTGCGCGTGTGTCTGAAAGCAGCCAGACAGACAGTAACAGCATTATTTTTAATTGCCAGAGAACAATAAATAACACCACTAACTGGTTAATTCTGCCTGATTATAATGTTGCATCAACAAACCACAATCTTTAATTAAAGAGGTCGAACCATGGAGAAAGTTCACCACACAATCTGTAAGTGATCAATACGATAAATTCATGTATTAAACAGTGAGAATGCTTACTCGCTTCGCCTGCGTGCCTCCATCCCATCAGGTAGGAAGAGTTTGATTGTTGACACGATGCAGCCATGGGTGACTGGAAAAACAGACAGACAGACCACCGTGTTAGTGTAAAAAACCTTAGTACTCGTTACCAGTTCTGAGTGAACACGTCAGGAGGAATTTTGAGATCTGCAATAAAGTTCTCTAAAGTGAACATAGAGTGTGTGGAGAGAAGTCCTGAACAACACTATTACTCACCATCTATGGAAAAGGTTTGTTAACTGCAGATTCCATTACACCGTTCAGACTGACACACATTATACGACATTTGTCCCAGACTGTTATTATATTAAGGTAAGGGTGCAAAACCTAAACACCTGGTGCACTAGTTTCAAGATTATTGCAATGATTACAATACTCAACAGAAACACACAAGGAGGAAATGCTTCTGCTGTCCCCCGGCCAATGTTTCCTGTTCAAGTTGTGTTTATTTTGTGCTTTTCTATAAATAGATTTATATTTTCACCTGCATATAAACACACGGTTCCTGGTTCAGAGTCTCGACCCGCTCTTACACGTGAACTACATTTGCCTATTATAAAGTCGTCATAGTGTCTGGGACAGCCCACAAAAAAATTATCAAGACGTGTATAAAAACATCTGAACTAGCAAGCAAAATCTCCATGTGGACTTAATTTATTTCCATACAGTATGAAAATCTATTCGTCATCTAAAAACTTGCTTGAATTGTGCAGTCTATTGCCATTAATGTTATGTCACTTTATCGTTTTGTAGTAAGGCAATTTAGGTGCAGGTTTGCTGCAACAATATGGTAACAAAAAACGAAAGCGGACCTGATATTCATTGTAATGATAACATCACTCTACACGTTTCAAGTCTGCCAATTGATTTTTATACTGTTAAAGAATGGAAACTAATGGCTGCCCAAAACGATAGGAAAAGATCTACATCTAAAAGTGTGAAACTTGCATTGATAGATAATCAGCAAAAAAGTAAATTACACATTATTTGTAGTTGAAGAGCTAAAACCTGCCATCACACAAGGCTTTATTGTGCTCTTCCAGAAAAAGATTTATTTATCTAATGTGATTCTTTGTAATTCTCTCCAATGCAGGTCGGATGCACTTTGGGTCTACATAATAAAAGGGCTATTAGTGGAGCTGAAAATTTGACCTTAATATCTGCTCTGCACTGTGTTCATGAACAGTATGTAGTCCATGACCTAAGCAAAACGAGCCCTAAGGTACCCTTTGAGGGTTTGTAGAGTGTAATTATTTCAGGGTTGTATGCATACATTATCAACTACAAGGCTGCTCGAGGAAGGAAAAACCTCTCTCTGTTCTTCCCTTCACTCCCAATAACCATCTTTCTTTCTCTCCATTCCGCATCTCTCTCAGCATACCACTACATTTGTCCACTACAACAATGTTAAGGCTTAATATATTCTGTAAGTATGTATGTACCATGTACCTTTGCGTGTGTTCTCAGTGACGTCAACGCCAAACTGAATAATGTCGCCGGAGAGAACCTCGCAGGGCGGACTCTCCTCCGAGCCGCGACTCAACCTCTGGCTGTTGATGAACGTCCCGTTGCTGCTTTTAGTGTCCTGCAGGTAGAACTGACACACACAAACACAGCGGGTGAGAACCATGTGAAGAAATCAATAAAACAACGTCACAAAAGCAACAGAAATTAACAGACTATTATATTGGTTGAAATGAAGTAGACTATGATACAGGATGACAGTAAACATTCAGCTGCGGGACATAATGAAATTCCACAATTGATTGGGATTGAGATGACACACTCAATAAGACAATAACAATGCCGACTTTTCATATAATATAGCAACTACTAGTCAGTTTTTAAGTGTGTGATATTTAGGTGGATCTATTGACAGAAATGCACTACAATCTACTTAAGTATGTTTTCAGTGCTGCACAAAGACCTTACATAATGAACCGCGAGCCCTTTTACATGGGAATCACAATGTTGCACTGCCATGTTTCTATAGTAGCCCAAATTGACAAATGGCTACAGAGCGCGTATCATCACAATGTTGAATACTGAGGAGGAAGAGGAGGAGGTAGATGAAGATGAAGAAGAAGAAGAAAACAAGTAACGTTAGTAGTAGTAGTAGTAGTAAGAGTAGTCGACTGGTTTATTAGAAGTAAGAAAAGGAGGCCCACACACATTATTTAGCACAAGAGCTGACCGTAGCTTCTCCTGCTGGCTTAGATCAAGAGGGGTGAACGATGACTGATGGTGCATTCATGTGGTGACGGAATAATCAGAATCTTTTTTCCTCCTTAAACCTTTTTTTGCAAAAAGAGAAATAAAGTGTACATGGTAGGGTTGGGCCGGCAATGGCTGAAAGACATCACAACGTTGAGCCAGCATCGTGATTGTAAACCACCCTGTGAAAGCAGGTTTTAATGACCATGAACCTTCTTATTATTGTTTTCAAGTGTGCTTTGCACCTGCCTTGGAATTCTGTTCCCCCCACACTCTGACACACTCACACACGCTTTTTTTTTTACAGAGTGAAGTCTGTGCGAGAACACATGCATATAAGACGACTGCACATAAGACCCCCGCGCGCATGCGACCACTCGATGACATCGTCCATCCCGATGTTTCATTTCAGACATTGTCCGATGGAAATTTCGAAGACATCGCCCAACCCTAGTACATGGGATGTAAATAACTATACAGAAAGTTGATTTGTGCAAATTAACGTAATGCATTTACATATTACACACATTCCCACTTAAGAGCACACACTGAAGTCAGAAGAACAACTTCACTACTCTGGAAATGGGACCCCCCGAGGAGCATGTGAATGCATCGTGGACCGCTGGTTGTAATTCGCAACACTCACCACTAGATGACACTTAAACTTACACACTTAACTAGGGCTGAATAGATTAAAATCGATAAGATCGATTAAATCGATTAATAAAATTCATTGACGCAAATTCTTTGCATCAATGCTTCGTTTAATCCATATAACTATACAGCACAGTGTTTCGCACGGACATTTTACTGTCACACATCGCGCTTAAGCTGTGAACTATACGTGATATGACGGCGCTGTTTGCAAAGTTGAGGAAGAGAGAGAAAATAGCAGGGACAAAGAAGAAAGTGTCCAAAGTATGGGTTCATTTCAAGTTAAAGAAAACAGCTCTGTAATGTTACCGTCTGTCCACCCTAAAACGAAACTTTCGTCGCCTTGGCAACAGCACGACGGCACCTGACCAGAACGCACCCGGTGTTCTGCCAGCGGACCACAGACAAGGTAACAGTAACAGCAACTTTAGCATTTAACTGAAATCATGATTGATTGTCGAGCTGAAGGCTAGCCAAAGTAAGCCGCAGACCTCAGCTGAAAATGTGCACACAAGTGTTTGTTTTTCTCCTTTTGGGCTGTGAGTTGTAACCCCACAGTCATGAGTTAACTGGGTGTCGGGAAGCTGCACCTTTTAACTCACTTCCAGCTCTCTCTGTAGCTTATAATTGCCATCTTTATAATAATAAACAGCTGTTTCATGATCGCTGATTTCCCGTGTATTTTCTTGATAAAATGTGGTTTGGAAACCAGTGTCGGGTGCCATTGCCGCTGTCAGCTCCTATAGTGTGCGACCCCCTGTCTCCGCCAAGCTAAAGTACTTCTTAAACGACACATCAGTGAATCATTGAAATAATCTATAGAAGCTTTGAATACTAAAATCATTGTTAGCTGCAGTCCTACATTTAACCTTTAAGGGTTTTATGCAGGTGAAGTGGTTAGCTAGAGTCACTTGTTAAAGTTTGGAAGAATCTGAACCCCCCAAGGTGAACACAGACAGTGTAAGCCTTTTCCTGTACTCTGTTTTGTTGTATAAGAAAAAAATGGTTCAAAGATTAACAAGACTGTACTATCTATAGCCATGCTAGCAGCTCTGTAAGGCTGTATTTGAGCTAAATGCCTACATCTGCAAGATGAACATGCTGATGTTTAGCAGGTAGAACGTTTACCATGAATACCATTTTACTTTAGCGTGTAAGCGAGCTAAAATAAGCAGATTAGCAATGCACACAAACTACAGCTGAGGCTGGTGGGAATGTAAAAAGTTTTGTAGTTGATCATAAACCAAAGTATAAACTAATGTAAATTTTGACAGGATAATGGTGCGAGACAGACATTGCAATCATAAGAGTTCCGGCACGGTCGTAACTAAAAAGACGCCAAGGGTAATTCCTCCTTATTGTGCCAAACGCAAAACATGTACATCAGTGCGTCTATCCCCGACCCCTGGACTTGTTCAAAAGAGATGACATTCTGTTAAAAAATTCTGTTTGTCTAAGCTCTGCAGAAGTTTATGAAATATAAAATGTTAACGGTCTAAAAAGGGAGTTATAATAGACCGTGTCTGTCAAGTATTGTCAACAGTCATCCTGTCAAAACATCTTTAATAATTGCAGTCTGAAGTTCTACACTTTGCCACCAGGACAAACTGACAGTAATGCTGACTTACTATCCAGCTCCATTAATACATATATCCATGGATGCACAATAGACAAAGCGGTAATTTCTTGGTTCAGATGATTTAATCTATTCATTCCTCCATTCACAATGAATTCATCACTACTCTCCTCCTGTCCGTCAGCCACGTAAAACTAGTCGTTCATAATTTAATCCAGAGGCTCTACTGTTAATATACAATGATACGGACATTACAGCAACCTTTCACATCATATACAAGCACCAAGACACTCTTAAACAGCCCAAATTCACAAGGACAACAGTCATGACAGTAAACAAACAAACAGCAGCAACTCTATTTCACATATCATTCAGAAAACACACATATGTTGACATATTCATGAAGTGTAAACACACTCACACATATGAAACTGAACACACAGGCAAACAAACTGCACATGTACATTCAAACATAAACCTAACATACAAATGTAAACCTGAGGCAAGAAGACACACAGTAAGGTTTAAAATCACACTACACAGAGACACACACACAAAGTTAGCGATCTGCTCTGGATGCCTGAGGCCAGCCTGCCTGTCGTTCCTGGAGTTTCATTCATCAGCTCTCCGTAATGACTGAAAACCACTGTCGATCTATGAGAGAGAGAGAGACAGACAGACAGAGAGAGAGACAGAGAGAGAAGGGACTGAAGGAAGAAAAAGCAACAAGAGAGAGGATGCCGAGACGGACTGGTGGATTTCGCTGTTTATCCAACTGCAGTGTGCTACCAATTCACAGATCATAATAGCTACACACACACACACACACACACAGTTACCTCCTGTCCCCATGGTAACCTGAAGACAGGGAGGGAGGGACCTAACTATAGAGCTTTTCACCCAGCAACAACACACACACACACACTCACACTATGCGTCACATACCTCACATATGGCTCTCTCACACACACACACACACACACACACCCCAGCACATACTATGTCTTTCTCACACATATACACAAAACATGATGTCATCAACCTGCGAGCAGCAGATCGCTGGTTTATTCGAGAGGTTATATTATGCTTTTGACTTTTTCCCTTTCCTTTATTGTGTTATATATCTTTTTTGTGCATGTAAAAGGTTTGCGAAGTGAAAAAGCCACAGAAACACTGCTCCTGAACTGCCTGAAAAAAGCCAGCCTTTACTTCTGTAAACTATCTGTGTCACTATGTAAAACGCGGCATAATGCTCGCTGGTGGAGAAACACACTAAGCTGCAGCACACACAGTGGCAAGATATGTTGACATTTGCTTTTTCACAGCATTATGAGCAACACGTCACACAGCCAAAAAGTAATAATCAAGTGATGACAGAAATAAAATGTAGGAATGCAGCAATATGAAAATTCTTGACAGAAGCCAAAAATTGTCCTAATAACTGAATACTGAAAAAGTCACATTTTTTCCCATTTATTTTACCATTGCATAAATTTAACAGTCATAATGTTTGTGATTTGGAGAGACTATAGTGGGTGGGTTTGAGACCCAAGAGGGTCCGGTGAAGTAAATTACTTGGGTCCATTTACTTTTAAAACTGTGTATCCTCCATACAATCTATGGTATCACGCTAAATTCATCAAATCCGACCCAATATGATAAATGCTGTATGTGGTTCTCGTATCGTGTAACATGAAGACTTCATAGCCTCTCTTCAGGTAGGACTCTCATACTGCAACACTCTTTGTAAAGAGAGAAAATGACAGGATAAAGTCGCCAACCTTCCTGTCAGCTCGCACTGGTCCGTTTCAGTGGATTATAGAGCAAACAACTAAAAATAAATATAATAATAAAAATAATCGTCAGATTAATCAACAATGAAAATAATAGTTAGGTGCTGCCTTAGAAGGTACTGTATAAGGCCATTCAAACAAGTGCATTTATATGTGAAGGATAGCGCAAATGTAAAATAAATTTAAGTAAAACAAGCACAGTCCTTTCAAACAGTGACAGTAACTGGTAGATGGTAAATTGTGAAATGTACTGTCTGACTGTCTGATAAGACCTGTGGTCAACATTTAGTAAGCTGCTGATCAGCAGAACTGTGAGAACTCAACTTTTTCACATGCTACACAAACTACCCGCCCATCTCT